TTGCCTAGGCTAGCCAGTGGTCGGCAAACTCATTAGTCAACAGAGCCAAATATCAACAGTACAACGATTGAAATTTCTTTTGAGAGCCAAATTTTTTAAACTTAAACTATATAGGTAGGTACATTGTTATTAATTAATTAGGGTACTCTTAAGGCTCAGGATGAGCCACACTCAAGGGGCCAAAGAGCCGCATGTGGCTCTCGAGCCGCAGTTTGCCAACCACGGGCCTAGACCAGTGGTTGCCAACCCGTGGTCTGCGGACCGAGGTCTGAAAGGTTGGCGACAGCTGGCCTAAACACCATTATGCAGTAACACAACAGAGTCAAAAGTGATCATTTCAAATAAGCTAGAAAAATCATCTGGTATAAGAATATGCAACCAACAGGAAACAAAACAGAACACATCCACACCCCTCAAGTTCTTGGTGGCAAGAATCCCCTTCAACAGTGATTTAATAATAAAGTGACAAGAATTGCAGTGCAGGGTGAGATAATGATACCTAAGTGATCACTACGGTCTATTTGAACAAAGCTCATTCCTTCTAAAAAAAAAAAAAAAAAAAGAATTTGGACAACCCAAAAGGTCAACACAAAGTGTGCCTCACCTTATAAGGTTAAGAGGAAAAGGGAACTGCTCTGAGGATAGTTCATGAACTTCCCCTCCTGTTCTTCTGCACTTCAATTTCTCACAATCCATTCACTGTAGTCAACTCAAATGCAAACCACATGACTGAAATAATTATAGCTAACATTTCCTGATCACTTAAGCATCTAGGACTGCTCTACATAATTAGTATTATCTCATTTACAAATGAGAAATAAAAGCAAACAGAGGTAATAGAACTTGCCCAAGGTCACAAAAACTGTAAGTGAAGAGCTGGGACGAGAACCAGGCATTCCACATGCACAGCCCTGCACTGTCTGCCTACCTGACAGTGTGCACACAAGATACAAAGCACACAAATCAAGTCCTCTTCATCTCATGCCCAGTAAAGTCTGGGAGATGTGGGAAGATGCAGTCACCTGGGAGCAAGTCAGTAGAACTTGCCCAAGGTCACAAAAACTGTAAATGAAGAGCTGGGACGAGAACCAGGCATTCCACATGCACAGCCCTGCACTGTCCGCCTACCTGACAGTGTGCGCACAAGATACAAAGCACACAAATCAAGTCCTCTTCATCTCATGCCCAGTAAAGTCTGGGAGATGTGGGAAGATGCAGTCACCTGGGAGCAAGTCAGTGGCCAGAATAGGTGTGGCCACTGGAAACTCGGGAAGATTTAATATTTAAACTCCAGAACAAAGGGAGTTCTCTCTCTTGCTTTCTTGCTGCTCGTGCCTAACTCCTGGTTTGTGGGGCTCCCACGCTCTGCACTCACCCATGTGGCTCATGGCCATGTGGGACCCACACATGGACTGAATTTAGCCTCAGGGGACTCAGCTTCACCACGGAACCGAAGCTCTGGATACTGACTTTGCTTTAAACTCTGCTAAAGCCCCAGCTGCCCCTTTCAGGACTGGATTAGGGGAGATGGGACTTTGGAGCCTGAGGAATGTAACGCCACAAAAATAAAGCCTTTTACCACATCTCATCCTCTAGTGGGGGCCTCCAGAAGTGCTCATTCCAGCGGTGTCCAAGAACCCCATTCCCATTAGCAAGGGAGAAATTCAATTCTCAGGTAACTAAATGTCCTGAAATATCAGGAGTTTTCCTCCTCTCTGGGTCCTTAGAAAACACATCAGTCTGTTGCCACATTAAACCTGCTTTTTTAATAAGCTCTTGCTGAATTACTCCAGTGGGGGGCATCATGGCATTCCCTCTGTAGGAAATTCCTCATGCCATCTCTGGCCTGCTCAGCGCAGTCCCATTCACTTTCATAACCAGTGGTTCTCGGGCTGTGGTCCCTGAGAACCTTATATGAGGTCCGCAGAGTCAAAACTATTTTCAAAATAATTGTAAGAGCTTCAACAGAGACCACATGACCCACAAAGCTGAAAATATTTGCTATCTAATCCCTTACAGAAAAACTTGGCTGACTCCCACTTTAGAGCACGAACCTTTCAAAAAGCAATGCTTACAGTTCTTTCTAAATTACATAGAGCATGTTGTATTTTGTACCAAAATATACTTTAAAAAAAAAAGGAACTTCATAGTGAAAACACTCAGAAGCAAATCCTGAAAATAAACAGATACAATCCTACAGGAGGTTTCTGTTCCAGCTCTCTCCTCTTATGATTTAAGATTTTATTAGGACTTTTATCCAGGGCTACATACCAAAGCCAAATACCCAAAAATAGACTACAAATTAGGCTGGGCAGGCTGAAGACCTTTAGAGGCCACCCACTAAAGATGACGGGTGACTTCTGCTGCCAGCCAGGAATGAATAACTGCTATGGAACTAGCCCTCCAGCCATAAACAACTAGAAACCTGGATAAAATATATGAAACAAATGCTTTGACAATGGGACAATCGGTGGAGGGGAACTATGATTCCTGCAAAAAAGGAAACAAGT